CCCCCCCACCCCCTCCATGCCCCATTTTGCATCTTTCTCTTACCAGGACAAGTGCCAAAAAGGGATTCCTGCCACAAGCTGGTATGTGTCATTTTAGTGGTGTTACTGGCCAGGTGCGTTTGTTTTGTGTGTGATACAAGACCTCCTTCCAAATTGTAGTTGAATGACCATTTACACAGGATGATGAAGTGTTTGTGTTCCTAGCCTACAATTCAAGGCTGAGAGAAAAGAAGATAATTCAAGGCCACCAAAGAAGTAGTTGGCCAACCTGTGGTCTAGACTGTGAGATTCCTTGCTCTGTCTCTGATGTTTATTGCTATTACTGATGTTTCTTAGACCTGGTCAGGTTGGAAAGAGTGAGAGAAAGGAAAGAAAGCATTGTGATTTCTTAATCATTATCTTGCATGTGCAGCTGCCATTGAAAGAGTACTTCTTTGGCTCATATATTCTGCCTTAAGTTTTGTAATGGGGATATTCTTTTTTTGTGTGTGTGATGCAAGTGGTTAGGTCTACACAGCTCAAAACACTTTGTGAGTTCTACTATGCTTCCCATTGGTCTGGTACCTTTACTTTTAGCTTGTGTCATTCTGATGTTGCTTGCTAAAACACTTTTGTTGTATCTTTCTTTAGATTAGTCTTTAAAAGCTGTTTGAGTGTTTGTGGAAGGCACACATAAAATATCCCTAAAGTAGGTTTATTTTAGACTTGCTAGGGAGTTAGAATAGGTTCTGAAATGTCATACATAAGGTTTTCCAACTTTGAAAGATTTTACTAATGTAGTACACACCTAATAACCAGCTTGTTTAGAAAGCTTTATTATCATTTGTTAGGGGAGGGAGATGAGTGAGGATGACGAGCGTCATAAAAACAATGTGTTAGTTTTTTTTAAGATCTAAGTCACTGTTTTTTGTTTCCTGTCAGGTGCTAGTAATGTAAAGCCATTGGATGGTGTGAAAATTCTTGATTTAACAAGGTTTGTGTTTAGTTTGTTATTTGTGGCAGTGTGTCTAAATGCAAATATTCTGATTGGAAAAACTAAGAAAACAATTTTTTTTTTTCATATTAAAGGGTTCTTGCAGGACCATTTGCCACAATGAATTTGGGAGATCTAGGGGCTGAAGTTATCAAAGTGGAAAGACCAGGTAAGATTTTTATTTATTTTAGATATAATGAGAACTGGATATTAAGTATATATATATATATACACACACATATACATATACTATGTGTATATATATATACACACATACATATACTATGTATGGACATTGGATATCCAAGGACATTGGATAATTAGCTGAATTAAATGTGTATTTTTAGCTTAACACAATGGTTTCCTTCCACTCAGCACATGCATTTTTTATCCAAAGAGTTGCTAAGGATTAGGTAATGGTGAAAAAAGGCTTCATTCTTATGGTATAGCTACACTTTTTAGTTTGTAGGACTGTATAAGAATACCATTGCATGGCATTTTTAGAAATAGTCCTCTCACTTGCCTCTAAGTTTTATGCATCATTACGTATTTAAGGTGTGTAATTACATCATCGCAGCTGCACATTATGTAATGTATTTTTTCCTTTAAGTTTCCACATTTTAAGTTCCTCTCTTTTGGTATTACTAGTTTTGAAGCTAGTTGGTGAAAATCATTGAGATACTAAACAATATTACACTCCCTAAATTTTATAACGTAACAGTTTATAATAATTTATGACATAAATGGAGATATTAAACATACTACATTCTCTATATTTTATTTCTGATAGGAAATATTGAATATTTGAACATTTAATGAAACACTGAATGTCTGAGAAAGGTTTTGTCACATCAGTCTATAGGTCATCCTGATTTACTGACCATTGTTATAAAGGTTTTCACTTTTGTGACCAAGCAAAATAAATTTTGTAAAGTCAGATTAGACTGACACTGGTGGTATTCCAAACATCTAGGCAGTAGGAACGGAGCAAGGTCAGTAATTAAGTATGAAGTAATGGTTTTGGAGCTTTGCATTGTTTGTGATCAAAGGAGAAGGACAGTTCCAGAATTCTGAATTTCAAACATTTTAGAATGCGAGTAATCCTTTCTTTCTGTGAGATGATACCTATTTTCACAGGAATATTAATCCAAAAAGAACAGTAGCCCCACTAGTGTTCTACATGGAAAGTATTACCAAAATGTTTTGCTTTGAATCACTCAGAGTACTCACACAGAAAGGAGATTGCCCCTACCCACCTAAGCATCCTGCTTGAACCAAAATCTCAGAAGTCTTTTGAAATATTAAACAGTACAAATGTTGATAAGCAATTTATGTTTGCAGAACTTTTGCCACTGCAGATCTTAAATGGCTGAAGACTTTTGTATTACTATAGTGTGTAGCATATTTATGACACATAAGGTTCTTCAGCTTGTTTCTGTATCTATGCCAGTATCAGTCTTCTGTGCTGCCTCACTAAGGAAAGTTTTCATTTATGTGAAGTTAGCAAGTAGATGAAGTCTAGATATTGAAATAGATACTGGAATGCACATGCTTGCTAACACTCAGGACAGTGATTGTATCTGAATTTGAATTTAGCTTTAATTATATTTAAAATAGATTGCTAGTCTTCATGATGTTTAAGAAAGGTTAAAAATTTGAAATTAAGCATAAATGATGCAGTGATATCAGTGTCTGCAGCACATTTATGGCAGGATTTCTGGAAGAGCTGGAGGTGGGACACTGCACCAGCTATAGCAAGCACTTCTTTTAGCTGGTGTTGTGCAGCATGCAGCTTAATCAGTTGTTGTCTGTCAGTGGTATCTTGATGTCTGGAGTGTTTCAGGAATAGCTTAGTGACCAGATGAACTGTGTGACTTGGTGCAGGCAAGAGCCTTACTAAATTCTTCAGGACTGACTTAAAGAATTGCACTGTACCTCTACTTTAAGTTTAAACAAACAAACTACCAAAAAACTCCAATTCCCCTTTCCCCAGCCTCCCCAAGAAAACAACCAAAAAAACTGCCCACAAAAAACCTGCAAATACACTAGTGGTGTGGGGCTCTATGAGTATTTTAAAGACTAAATGGAATCCCAACACTAGCAAAAATTTTGTTCGCTTTGCTCAGTTGCATTCACTTTTAGGTGGTTTTTGATATAAATATCCTAAAATATGTATGTTAAACTATTATTTGTCCTGCCTGCTAGATGAAGCTTAGGTGACTTAAATGTGATATTGGAGGAATTTATTTGGCATGTGATATTGGGCAACTATGTCATGGTATTTTTTTCAGGGGCTGGTGATGACACAAGAGCCTGGGGTCCACCTTTTGCTGGGACAGAAAGCATTTATTTTCTCAGTGTTAATAGAAATAAAAAGGTAAATGGAGTGTGGAAGTGAACATAAGCATATATTTTCTGTAATTATAACTGAATATATAACGTTTCTTAGTTTGATTCTTAACATATAATAGAGCAATACTTACATTGACCTAATGTTTTGATGAATAAATTTCAGGAGAAAACCCATAAGTAATTAGAACAAAAAGGGTTCCAAATCTCTGATAGGGTGCTATGAGCAGCTAAAGCAAAATGGAAAAGCAAGATTGATTCTGCTGGTCTTCAGTTGCTGGCATTAATTAACTGAAAATGAAACCTGCTAAAAGCAAGGGGTATTTTTTTTGAGTGATCATTTTTTTCAGGTGCATCAGCTCAGTTGATCTGTGTCAGCTGTCAGGAGGAATGCTTCCATTATATGACAGTGAGGGTGGCTAAATCCAGCTTTTGAAACTTTGGGATTAACATGAGGTTTCATGACATACCTGAATTGTTTAATGGCTTGTTACCATTGAAACAAATGTTTCAGGTGTCCCCCTGTCTACTTCCAGTAGTGGGTCCTGTGTAAATATATAAGGAACAGGCTGCACATCTGTCAGACTGGTTTTGGTGCTTGTCCTATTCATTAATGAGATGTAGTTCAGCTTGCTTTGCTGAGAGAATTTTTTTTTTCAGGAGGAAGTGGGTTATGTGTTAAAATTTATTTATCCAAATTAACTATAGTGTGAAATTTGACTGTTGGTTATGTTTAGAAGAGGCTGATAATCCCTTTCACATAATTTTTCATATAAATTACTGTTGTATTTATTTTTAATCCCCAGAGTATAGCTATCAACATGAAGGATTCAAAAGGAGTAAAGCTAATCAAAGAGGTAGGTTTTGATAGCATGCAAGGCGTCCTTATTTTGTATTATTGTGATCCTGAGTAATAATGATTAAACTCTGCATTTCAAGTATTAATTTGATAATTTAAAAAATCTAAGTATGCAGTAAATTTTGTAAATAACAGTGTATAGCTTCTGTACTCTGCACTTTTGGATTTAATGTTCAGTGTAACTTGTAATTACTTTAGGGTTAAATTTACATGAAAATGTCATAAAGATGTTCAAATGAAATATTCTGAGAAAATGGTCTAATAGCCTATTCCATTCCTGTTACTGTTGCTGTACTACTACTCATCTTGCTGTACTACTGCATTAGAAAGATTCAAGATGGACTGATCAGATGAAGTCAGTGAGCAGTTAAGAGTAGATGCTGCGCTTCAGGAAATGCAGTTTTTTGAATGCTACAGGGTATTCATGACTTCAGTTGCTGTACATCTTCCTGAAAAACATTGTCCTGTAGGTGAGACTTAGTATTTATTTATTTTTCAGTATTTGACTTCAGGGTCTTTTAAGGTGATCCATTTCTCTATTTAAAAATAATTAAAATATCAAATTTCACATTTTATCAAACTTGTGTTTTGTCATCTCTTTATTAATTATTTGTTGAGAAAAGCAAGATCAGCTGCTTGCTAGTGCTGCATTTTAAGCCCTGCTGTAGTAGCAGCTGACTTCTGCTACTGTTTCAGTATCAGCTCCAATCCCTTTTTCACAGTGACAATGTGTGTCATGCAGTAGGTGGAATTCGTTGGGAGTATTGCATGAAATGGAAATAGATTTAAGTTTTCTGATGCTTTTGATTTGTTAGCTATGCAAAGGTACTTCATACAGAAATCTTTGGAGATTAAAAACCAAGAATTCCACAGTGCCTTTTCTTTTTGCAGAACAGAGCATTTTATTGTTGATTTGTTATGGAGCTGTATGCCTGTGTTCTAAAATATTTGAAGCAGAAATTTTCATTTGGAAAAATTTTGCATGGTATAACATAGTCATATTTTTGTATAAACTAGTCATATTCTAATTAAGTTCTATAAATTTTTTTCCTCTTGTGGAAGAAGACTAATTTATTATTAGACCTTTAAAAATGGTGAAAGAAAAACTACTCAAAGTGTCCACTGATTCCACATGTGTGGGCTGAAGGTGTTTGAAGTGTTAAAGGCAGCTGGGCCTATGAGTCAAGATGAGGTGGAAGAAAAAATGGCATCACCTGTTAAATATTTACCACACTGGCTGCTTTTCTTCCTTTGGCATAGCACTACAAAATATATTTTCAAGAGTCTATTCTTTCATACATGATTACTTGACTTCCACAAAGTTATTGCTTTGTCTTCTTTATCTCTTTATTCTATGCCACTTGTAGCCCTTTCTTTCCTTCTACTGTTTTTGGCTGACTGTTAACTGCCTTCCAAATATTTGTCTCACTTCCTGAATGAAAACTATTTTTTTCTCTTCAGTGACTGTATGTGTGCTGGTCCCATGCTCTGACATCTTTTTGTAGCATCTCTTTGAACATTATTTATCAGTTATTGTCAGAAACTCATTTTAAGAACCTTGAGCATACTTCTCCCATGTGAATTATTGAGCCTTGACCAATGAACTTTTTAATTTTATTTTTTTTTTATTCATTAAGAACTTGGGACTTTAATTGGCTGGGAGCTGATGGAACTTCTTTTCCACTGTGTTTAGCTGATAGGTCAATGTGTCTCATGCATTGCTTTCTTACTTGATAAAGAAAGCTACTCACAAAGCTACTCACACATATATATATATACATATATATACATACATATATACACATATACATACATACATACACATATATATGTACATACATATATATACACACACATATATGTATGTGTATGCAGATTCTCCTCTGCAGAGTTTTTGTAAAAATCAAAACACAAAAGAAATCTCCATACAAACAATAAACCAAAAATATATGAACTGAAACTTTCAAAAGTTTTATATTGCTCTATTAGTAGGTGTTAAAATACAAGTGATGCTTAGGGAAGTTTTAGGGCATGAAGTTTTAGTTGACAGTGGACTTAAAACCCCATTGAGACTGAAAATCTCGGTGAGTTTTAAGAGCATATAGTTTGTTTGGATCAGACTATGTATCCAGTTTTCCACAAGGGCAGAATTGTTGGTTCGGTGAGCATCAGTGCTGCATGTAGACTGCTGCCTTTATGCATACTATTTCCACTGAAAACTTTAGATGCAGAACTGGCACGGTACTTATAATGTGTCTTGAAAACTCCTTTCTCTGACTGCACATACCCTGCTAAACTGGGCCCAAGTCATTATATCCTCACTTAGCACTGTGTTGCCCAGTCCAGAAATATGGTGCTTTCCATGTTACAGTACTGTGTGTCATATTTTCTTCCTCAGTGGCTTGTAGGAGATGGTAGTTCTTTAATATAACATGGACAATAACTTTCAACTGTTTTAGCCCATCCAGTCATTGTAATTTTCATAGATTATAAAATCACAGTGAAAGCAGTACACAAGGTGTAACCAATTTCATCTCTTGAATGAATTAGGCTAAAGCTGTAGCATTACCAATTTGAAAAGTATTTATGTATGAACTGTAATGGATTTAATAAGAAAATAAAGCCTCCTTAATTTAATCTTTCATAAAGGCATTGTGATTTGTGTTCTGATGGCACTAGTTTATAGAAGCTTGTCTAAAATACTGTTTATTTAATTAGACAGTGACATGGCAGTTTCAGAGACTGAGACTCCTTGATTGGCTGCAAATAACATTAAGCAATTAATATATCAGTTATGCTTAAAAATGGGTGCACAAACATGTGTACCTGTCAGAGAACACTTACTAAATTCCTGTGCATGCACACACACCCCACACAATTTACCAGGCAGAAAGCCTACATGTCCCTCAAGGCATACATCTGTCTTTTAACAAGTTGTTCTCTTGCTTCAGGAGTCAACTTGTGTTAGTCTTACTGAAATTTGCATATGTGTATCTGCTTATATTTTTTTATAAGAGAGGATGGAATGTAAAGCAAATCAAGATTATATGTTGATCTTAACATCAATAAATTTTTGGACTAGGCCATTCATTTGAAATGAAAAAAGTCATATTGCAGAGGTTGACAGCCCTATTACATTTAATGTGACTTTAAGATCTTAATTTTAATTTCTTAATTTTAATTTTTGTTGGGCTCCCTATTTTATTTCTACATATAGGAACTTGAATATATTGTCATATCTTGACCTTGTTATGGTAATTGTAATAAATTATTTGAAAATGAAAAAGTAATTAAAAAGTTATTTCTATGATGGAGAAAATATGAATAATGGACAAATACCACTTCACTTTTATTGAAAAAAATGTATGTGAAAATTGTTCTGTGAATATTGTCAAGCCTTAAGAAACTGATGTGATTCTGATCATCTTACAGTTTTGTCTAATTACTTTAGGATTTTGTCAGTCTTATTTCTAGATATGCAGTATCTCTAATATATAGTTTACACAGTCTGACAGACAAAAGAATATCCCTACAGGCTTGTCAATTTTCTTTTATCAGGAAGACCAGAGCCATTTTAATTAGCAAGATTTTAAAATTAAGTTGCATAGGAATTTATTCAAATTTTGGGAGCTAATTAACAGATTTTACTCGACCTTTTCTTTTTTAAAGCTTGCAGCAGCATCTGATGTTTTTGTGGAAAACTTTGTCCCTGGGAAGCTGGCTGAAATGGGTCTAGGTTATGAAGATATTAAAAAGATTGCTCCTCACATAGTGTACTGTTCAATAACAGGTATTTTATTTTCAATTCTTTATGTTCATTATTTCCTTTATTTCAGTCAAAGTATTATAAAAATCATGTGGTTGTATAGAAGGATGTTCCTTTGATGTCAGTTAAGATAAACTGAGAGTTTAAGTGACTTCAGTTAAAAAACAGGTATGGAAAACATTTGAGGAAGCAACCATGACAACAGCTCAGTAGCTGTTCAGTGTCATTGCCATGCCAGCCTGACATGTTCCTATTGATTTATTGGGCTGGCCTCCTAGGGTTTTGCTTTAAACTAGATGAAAACTGGGATTTTTTTTTATTTATTTTTTTTCCCCTCTCCCCCAGCAGTTTTACTGAATCAGTTTACATATTGTGTGCTTTAAATGGTAATATCAATGTTTTTTACTGCCCTGAGGTATCTCTCTTCAGAATTGTGCAGTTACCTGCTCACAGAAGTTTTACATGACTTTTTTACAGTCTATTGCTTAGTACCTGAAACAGTAGAAGAGTTGTATGTACTTTATAAAAGCAGGGAAGAAGGAAAAGGAGGTAGACACACGTATGCAGTTCCTGTTATTTGTATAAAAATAATTTTAAGTCTGGAAAACGTGCTTAAAAAAACTCCAACAAAAGACACTTCCCAAAATCTTAATCAAGCACTAAAATGAAAAGTCTAATATTAAAATGCAATTAAATAACAGCAGAAGTTACAGATATTTTTAGACTGGTTTAAAATCTTAGTTACAAATCTGCTTTGCCCTTCAGTTCCTGCTGAATACATGGCTTTGACTTTTTGCTTACTGGGTATGGATGTAATTTAATAGGAGTCAAATAGCTTTTTAGTCTTTTCTGATGTATTTATCCTATTTGTGTGGCAAATGTCTGAAAATGTCAAGAAAAGAAAGACAATTATATTCAGGGCTTGCTGAGAATCTTGTTTAAATACCTATTTAGGTTGGTCAGTGGCTGGTTGCTACAATGTTTTTCACATTTGCTTGTATATATAACCTAATAACTGGAATTTTTCAAGTGGGTGTGCGTTTTTTTTCTTTGCTTTTTTCTTTAGTTGCTGTACCCGTAATGATGAAAAATAATTAAAACTACATCCAAACAATCTGTGTGAGGTACAGCACCCTCTCATTTTGTGTCAGATGCTCCAGTCTCTTAATCAACTTTGTGACTCTGTGCTTGCCTCAATAAGCTGATGTCTGCCTTATACTGGGTAGCCCAGAGCTGGGCACAGGACTACAGACGTGGCCTCAGCAGTGCTGAGAAGAGGGGAAGGATCAACCCCCTTGGCCTGTTTGACACTCTTCCCAGGGTGCTGCAAAATACTCTTGTCCTCCGCTACAAGGATGCATACTTTTATGTTTTAAGTGCTCCCTCAACTGAAGGTAACTCTTTCTTGCTGCAGACTTCTCCTCTAGTCTCAGGGACCTAGGACTCCTGAGAGCCATCTTTTTTTGGGAAATACTGAGGCAAAAAAGCATTACATGTGTCCACCTTCATGGCCTATTGTTCATTTTGCCATAGGTCCATGTCATCTCTAGTCTTCCTTCTGCTGCTGATTTGCTTGCAGAATCCTTTCATGTTGCCTTTTATGTCTTTTGCCAAATTCAACTCCAGATCAGCCTGTGCTTTTCTCACCATATATTTGTATGATCAAACAGCACCTCTGTACTTCTAGGTCACTTGCTTCTGCTTTCACTGCTTGGAAGACAAGTCGGACAAAAATGACGTAATCTTGCTGTTTAGAGCTTTGTGTAATGCATAATTTACAGTTTTGTTCTATAGTGGAAAGCACATAAGTCTTATTCATAGAGTATGACAACTTGAAGTTGAAAGTGTTTGGGTGGTAAGAGCTAGGTGATGTTTGTCAGGCACCCATAAAACAACTTGAAATCTTAAATTATGGTTGTTTAAGTCTTGGATACTCAAGAGGTGATAAGCAATGTCTATTTAAGGATGATGCATCTTTTAGGAATAAAGACATAAGCTCAGTGCCCTTAATAAAGAAATCAGCTCATAAATCCATTGAGTTAAGACAGGAAATAGCAAAGCCTCAATCTAAGCAAATTAAAAGAAACAACCAGACTAAGACCAAATGTACATATGTGACATGCAGGAAGGGGTTTTTGGCTCAATCAGGCAGAAAACTGATTTAAGAAGAATTCCTGATTGATTTCTAAAATCTCTGTGATGTATATTACAATTCCTAATTATTTTGTGCTGTGGTTGCTGCTGCTGCATTCAAATATGCTTGGGGATTTTTTTGAGGGTATTTTCTGGTTTGGTTTTTTTTTGAGGTGGTTTTTTTTTTTTTATGAAGAGAGATGGGACTAAGTAGAGGCTCTGGGACTCAAGGGTCAGGCAAGTGATAGTGAAGATCTATCTGGGGCAAGTCTGTGAACCAGACACATTACAACTACAGCTGTACATAAAGAAGGATGGGTGATGGTTGTAGGTGACTCCCTCCTGAGGGGAACTGAGGGCTCCACATTCTGACTGGCCCTGTCCCACAGGGAAATCTGCCCTTCCTAGGGACCTAAGTAAGAGATATGACTAGAAGATTCCTTGGACTGATTCAGCCCTCTGATTATTACCTGGGTTTCCATGTCAGCAGTCAGAGTGACAACTCCTAGGACAATCAAAATGAACTACAGAACTTTGGGATGACTGGTTGAAGGGATAAGGGCAGAGGTGGTGTTTCCCTCAATGCTTTCAGGAGCAGGGAAGAATGCTGAAACAAACAGGAGAGCCCTGATAAACACACAGCTTAAAGGCTGGTGCCATTGGTGCAATTTTGGCTTTTTCCCTCATGGGATAGCTTATACAGCACAAGGCTGGCTGCAGGCAAATGAGGCTTGCCTGTCTAAAAGAGTGAAAAGAATTCGAGGCCTGTGAGTTGGCAGGGATGATTGAGAGGGCTTTAAACTTGGTTTGAAGGGGCAATCAGGTAAGACCAGATCACTAGAGATGAACCTGGGGTGACATGCCTGTGTCAGGGGTGAAATTGATTCAGCTGGGTGAAGTCAGCCCAGCTGAAGTGCATGTACATCCCAGTGCATGTACATCGTGCAGCAGGAAAGCTGTGATGTAGCTGCCATCACAGAAATTAAATGAGATGAGGCATGTAAATGGAGTGCTGCAATTCATGGCTACAAGCACTTCAGAAGGGACAAGTGAGGAAGGAGAGGTGATGGAGTGGCTCTATACATTAGGGAGTATTTCAACTGTACAGAGCTCCAGGATAGTGGTGACAGAGTATCTGTGGGTGAGAATCAGGGGGAAGGCCAACAAGGCAGACATCCTGATGGGAGTCTGTTACAGACAACCCAACCAGGATGAAGAATGAACTATGCTGTAAGCATCTGGCTGATGTTTCACAATTGCTAGCCCTTGTTCTTGTGGGAGACTAACTTGTGGGATGTCTGCTGGAAACTAAACACAGTGGACAGGAAGCAGTATAGGAGGGTTTCTTGAGTGTGTGGAAGACAACTTCCTGACACAACTGGTAAGGGAGGTGCCCTGCTAGACCTGCTTTTTACAAACAGAGAAAGGCTGGTGGGAAATGTGGTGGTCAGATGATATCTTTGGCAGTGACCATGACATAACACAGTATTCAATGCTTGGTGAAGTAAAGGAGTCAACAAAACCTGTACTTGTACTTCAGAAGGGTGGACTTTGGCCTGTCCAGGACACTGGTTCAGAGAGTTCCTTGGGAAAGAGCCATTAAAAACAAAGGGGTCCAGAAAGGCTGGATGTACTTTGAGAGAAATCGTAAAGGCACAGGAACAGTCTGTCCCTGTGTGCCAAATGACAAGCTGTCAGGGAAGAAGACTGGCCTGACTGAATACGGAGCTTTTGCTGGAATTTAAGGGGAAAAATAAGAGTTTATCATCTTAGGAAGAAGTGGCAGGCAACTCAGGAAAAGTACAAGCGTGTTGTTAGGTGATATAGAAAGAAAATTAGAAAGACAAAAGCTGTTCTAGAACTCAATCTGGCCACCTCTGTGAAAGATAATAGAAAGGGATCAGGCCCAGCCAGCCCAGTTTGTGAAAGGCAGGTCCTGTTTGACCAGCCTGATCTCTTTTTATGATCAGGGGCCCACCTAGTGGATGGGGGAAAGGCTGTGGATCTTGTCTGTGTGGACTTCAGCAAAACCTTTGATACTGTCTCCCACAGCATTCTGCTGGGCAAGCTGGCAGCCCACAGCTTGTACTGGTGTACACTTTCCTGGCTGAAGAACTGAGTGGGTGGTGGTGAATGGTGCCACATCCAATTTGTGGCTAGTTATAAGTGGGGCTCCCCAGGACTCAATATTGGGTCCAGTCCTGTTTAATAAAGTTACTGATGATGTGGACACAGGGATCAGGTGCACCTGCAGTAAGTTTGAGGATGACACCAAATTGGGAAGGAGTTTTGGTCTGCTGGAGGGTAGAAATTACTGTAGAGGGTTCTGGCCAGGCTGCATTGATGGGCTGAGGCCAATGGTGTGAGGTTCAGTAAGGTGAAGTACCAGATTCTTCACTTGAGTTGCAGCAACTCCCTGGAGCACTACAGGCTGGGGTAAGAGCAGCTGGAAAGCTGCCCAGCAGAAAGGGATCTGAGCATGCTGATATACAGCAGCTGAACTTGAGCTAGCAGTGTGCCCAGGTAGCCATGAAGGACAATGGCATCCTGGCCTGAATCACAAATAGTGATTGTCCCTCTGTGCTCAGCACTGGCTGGTTCAGTACCTGCTGGCATTTTGTATTTGTGGTTAAAGTTGTAGTAGCCATTACCCTATTTATGGTTTAGGGTAATTGCCACATCCTTGATGGTGGTTCAGATGCTGGAGGGCTGCACTCCTTGTGATACTGTTTTTGTGAATCCTGTTAAGTAGGAATTGATGTTTTGTACTGCTTGATCTGTGAGCCAGATCAGGCTGGGCTGTCTTCAGAATACATCACGGTCACGTGGCAGTGCTTGGTTCATATGTGCCACGTGTCATATAACAACACTTGTATGTATTTCATTATTTC